CTGAATATTGATAGATGACATTTGAATGTAAATAAATGACAGCTGAATATTGATAGATGACATTTGAATGTAGATTGGTGATATTTGAATATAGATAGATGATACTTGAATATAAATAGGTGATATTCGAATATAGATAGATGACACTTGAATATAAATAGATTATATTTGAATATAAATAGATTATATTTGAATATAGATAGATGACATTTGAATATAAGTAGGTGATATTTGAATATAGATAGATGACATTTGAATGCAAATAAATGACACTTCAATATTGATAGGTTATATTTGAATATAGATAAATGACATCTGAATGTAAATAAATGACACTTCAATATTGATAGATGACACTTGAATGTAAATAGGTGTATTTGAATATAGATAGATGACACTTGAATGAAAGAACCAATTAAATTTTTCTTATCTTTCTGTTCTGTTGTTTCCACCTTCCACATATATACTTCAGTCTTAGTCCATTGCATTTAAAAGTCTTTTGTAGTTTTATCTTTTTTCTATCACTTTAACAAAAACTCTGCAAGCTGAATGAATCACAGAACAGATGATAGCCTAGTTGAAATGAAAAAAGTAAAAAAGTGCATTAATTATAAAAAACAAATATAAAAGTGAATAGTATTAATAAGAATATGATATAATATTAATAATATAGTGCAGTCAGAACTGTACATAAAATAAACTTTAGAGTAAATGTCAATAAAAAATATTTTTGATTCAGCCTGCTATAATCTTCAACCAAATACTTAAGAGAACATTTTAAGCATAACATTATTTTTAATTATACTCATTGCCTTGTACAATTAATTGAACTATGGTCTTTCAGTTTGATTCCTACTATAGTGCAAGGCTCAGAAGAGCTCAACTCTTAAATGGGGTTTATTTAAGACTTTTGGGTTTTCTGCTATTATGGACTCATGCCAGTCTAAATTAAGCTTACTAAATAACTATAATCTTTCAGTTCTCCTGATTCCTCCGGATGCCTATCATTCTTCAAATTTCTACTCCTTGACAATAAAACTATTCTCAATCAGTACTTACATTTAGAACAGTATTAAGAGCCCCTGTGTCGGGTAGAATTAAGTAATCTATAAACTTTTAGATTATTGATCTCTTTCTTACTCTTTGTATTATAAAGATGTCCATGTGCCAGAATTGGTTTGAATCATGTTCCAGAAAGAAACAATTGAAAAGGTTCTTGATAATCAGAACATTTAAATTTTAAATGCCACAGTTTTAAAATATAACTGAGAAAAATAATAATGAAGGTCTTAACATATTTATTTAGAGTATAAAAATGGATGTATTTGAGAATCCTGGCAAAATGTGTTTGATTGAAAACAAGAAAAACAGCAATAGATTATTGGTAACTTTGCTGATCATCACTTTGATATTGGCTTCTAACTCACCATCAGTCTATAAGGAAACATTTGGAATTCATTGACTAAGCAGTTGATGTCACTGTTTTTGAAATTTTAAAAATCTTTCTCTTAAAACAATTTTTCATAAAAATAGGTTTCTTAAGTTCAGTAGCTGTTATCACTCTTTCCAGTATTAATGGAGTTTCCTTCCTAATGTCCACATCTTAATTATATCATTATGTTCATTTTTTTTCTCATTTCCCCCAAGCAAGGTGATAATGCCATTAAGATACAAGAAGTTACTAGTGAGTGAAAGAAAATAAGAGGACTTTAGGAGAAGGAACCAAAAACCCAATCCTAAACAGGAAACAAGAGATAAACCTCTACTCCTCTTCAAAAGACGAGGTAGGAGTGTGAATCTGGTGATAAGTAAACCTATCTACTCCTATATATGCCATCCATTTTAGTTGTTACTGCTGTTGGTGATATGGTTTCTATCATTTGGTATTGTTCTTTGTTTGTGATTCTGTTGTGTGAGTTCATGATGTTCAAAGCCAGTCATCCAGAGATCCAACCAATTAACAATTTAGCTTTTTATTCCTCTGATTATGGCTTTCAGGATTTGGATTTTGATGATTTAAAACCTTTGTAATTTCAACATTCCGGATTATGGTATTTGGAATTTTAATTTGTATCAATTTGATATTGTTCAGCAAGTATCACTTATAAGAAATGTGAGCAATAACACATCTATGTCACCTTGTGCCAGACTTGAGTTTTAAGATATAATCACAATTGCATCTGCAACCTTCAAGCATTAGAATTTAAAAGATTTATTCTTTTTAGATCTGCTGTCATCCTTGTAATAATGCCTGGATTCACAATTTGAAAGTAAATCTTGTTAAATCAATATTATATATATATATATATATATATATAACTTCACTAACTGATATTTTTTTAATTCTTGGACATCTAATTCAGCAGTTAAACCAAACACTTAGAATAAAATTTGTTCCCTTTTTATGAAGTCAATTATTAAAAATAGGATTTCATGATAATAGATTTTGTGGCAAAATAAATTATTTGGTATATTTTCCCAGGAGGCAACCATCAATGACTTTTTTCACAGTAATGATTAATATTTAAAGAAACAATATGAAGTCAGTAAAAAGCATGTTCTGATTTTAAAGGCTTCTTTTCTAAAACCTCAAAAAGTCAACATGATGGCAAAAATATGGTTTTTCGTATACAAAAAATAAAAGTTTCATTTATTTTACAAAATGATTTATTCAATCAGAACACACACATACCATATATATATATATATATAATTTACTTATAGGACAATATAAACCCAATTAGCAATCATCCTGCATATGACGATAAACTACATCCAACAGCATGGCCTCTGCTCAGGAGGTTTTGAGGAGTGTGAAGCCACCTCTCAATTGCTGGTGTTCCCTGGTCCACCCTGACCTGGGGTGCTGGCACCTGTCATGGTCCCAGCTATGGTCAAATAATTAACACCAAATTGGTGTCAAAATGCTATAAAAGTGTAAAAATAGGTTTTAATACCAGTAATACATTTTTGTAAAAATTATTACCAGCAAAACATTTTTGAAGAAAAATATTACCAGCAATAAAAATCTTGTTGGCATGAAATAACCCATTGAAGTTGATATGGCATAAAATAAAACAAACCAAACCAATTAGAAAATAGTTTGACTAAAATAAACTGTCACCATATATCAGGAAAAAACTGTTCCTAACTTCTCTTGCACAAGATTATTTTCCCCATTACTTAGTTTATATTATATTATATATATATATATATTTCTTCTTCAACATTTTGTACAACACTGATTTTCAGCTATGTGGAACAAATTGAAAACTAACTGTTGTAAAATGTTAATGTTATTATTTATAACCTAGTGTTAAGATAATAGTGCTGTGCTTTTACTTATGAAAACTATGCTTGTCTTCTTAGGTGACTAGCTAATCCTTGTTGCATATACCTGTTCAGGCAAATTTGTGTTTCTTCAAAACTCCCAAAATCAACTTTTTTTTTTTTTTAAGCGTTTCACCCCAAGCAAGGCGGGAAGCCACTAGGACACAAGAGTTACAGAAAATTTGGAGCAAGATCAGATAGGAGTGATAGAAGAAAGGATGATGAGAAGGGTAGTGAATAGATCAAGGCAACTGGAGATGTCAATTGACATTAAATTTGAATAGCTGGAGCTTATAGCTCTCAGGAAAACTGGAATAGGGAAGGGAGTTCCACAGGCGTGAGGTGTGAGGCATGAAGCTATTGGAGTAGAAGAGACGGCTACATTTAGGAGTTTCGACAGTGAAAGGGTGAGAGTGGGATGCCAGCCTCGTAGGGCACTTGAACTCATGAAGTCTGGAAACCAGTGAATGCAGCTCCTTGGAGCAATTGCCATGAAAGTATTTGTAAAACAGAGAGAGGAAACGGCTGTTTTACAAATACTTGTAGTTTATACTGCAAATATACTGAACAGTTCTTAATTTCAGTTTCTGGAGTAGAACACATAATCTGGTTCGATCTATTGTTGGACAAGCCCAACAGTTTCAATGTCTTATGACTTCATGTTGGTGCAATGTTCAACAACATCCAAATAGTTATAGAACTCTAATGTTCTCGACACTGTGGTCAATACTGAGTACTGATAGTCTGCTTGACAATATTGTGTTCAAACATGAGACAATGTCATCATTTAGTGTTGACCTCAGTGACCACTTTTATATAGGGTGACCCCAAAAAATGGGAACTTTTTAACAGTCCAATAAAACCAAGAGTGATGGAAGAAAAATATTTTATTCATAGTAATTGAAACCTTAAAACATGCAATTTAAGAAACAATGATGGAATTTTCATTTTTTAAAAATTACATCCTCTAGATGGTATTCTCCTGTACGAATGCATTCTTGAAATCTGCTGTTGAGATTCCTCATTGACTGCTGCAACATCTCAGCTGGGATACTGTGAATTTCATCTTGAATTCTAAATGGTGAAATGTTTACTTGCTCAAGGTCACTGTCTCACAGTGTTGCCACTGGCTCATGTCTGGCAATACGCACTTCAAAAATTCCCATTTTTGGGGGTCATCCTGTATTTACATACATTCTATCCCCAATATTGAGGTCTTCAACCCATATCCTACTTTAAAAATCACAAAAACGTGAAACCCAGGGTCACAAACTTACATCAATCCAACCAAATATGTTAGCTCTATCTCTGATATTGAGCGCTTTCTTATAAGTACTGCGCATATAATATATAAATAATAATATATATACAATATATTACACATATATATATTTATGTACACACACTTTTCATATATATATATTTTTGTCATCATATATATATATATATATATATATATATATATATATATAAAACAGGATAACATTTATTCATGGAAAAATTTTGCTGTATTTTGATGTTTCCAGAAAGGAAGGAGATCATGCTTTGTTAATGGATAAAATTTTATCAGTAATAAGTGAAAATCTTTTTATTCATGATAAGATGAATTTTAATTTGCTTGTTTCTTAACATTTTACTACAAATATTTTTCTCTTTTCATTGATTTGTAGCTTGCAGTAACTACAAATATGGCTACCGCTGTCGAAACAAATGCAGTGATTTTTGTGTGGCTAAAGAGTGTCACTACATCACAGGAGAATGTAACAAATATTGTATGCCTGGATATGACGGAAAAAGATGCGACAGGCGTAAGTATTCTTGACAGCTTTTTGCCATTTATTTCATATGTCTATATGCACAAATATGTCTATTGTCTAATGATGAAAAGAAGCATTCCTTTTTTCTTTTTTATTAAAAAAGATTTTTACTTACCAAGAAGATTTTCCATGCTAAATTTTGGTCATATTTAGGGAAGCAAGTTGAGCCAAGAACGTGTTATGCATTTCTTATATGTGTACATGAGTAAATAGCAGGATAAACTGGATTGTATAGCCTGTATAGCAACTGCTCGAAGAAGTACAACTCTGAATTCAAAACCTCCAACTAGGGATTAATTAGTTGCAACAACCTGAAAGTGGCCAAGCATGGAGAGTATGGCTGCAAACATGAAGACATGGTTCCTCCAACAGAGGTGAGAAGGCCCTGGATTTGGTATATATGTGTGTGTAGCCAACTTGTTACAATGTTTGCTTTCTAACCTTGAAACCAGCTTTGAATCTCACCGTGGTTAATTTGTCAGGAAGGGGATTCTTAATGCTATTTATCTGGGGAGGTGATCCTAGCATATGGCACCATTGGAAAGCACACAAAACCAATGCTATGGGTTACCCCAAGCCTTGTGAGTGAAATAGGGTCAACAAAACAGTTTGGAAAACATTGGTGTGTTAGCATGTAGGTAAGGTTTGGGCATATCAGCCTTCTTAAAAAAAAATGTACTCATTCCAGATTATGCATTCTTTCACAAAAACTGCAACTAATGACTATTCAGTATAGTTGTAGTAAGAGCCACAGATGGACTTTGTAGGTATTCAACAATCACAAATATGCCTGAACAGGTGTCTGCACAACAGGAACTGGCTAGTCACCCTTGCAAACTGGTTTGTTTGGAAAATGAGTAGTTGGCTATTTTATATATATATATATATATATATAATAAAAAGGTTAATAGTAGTGCCTTGTCATCTTCAATGAAACCTGTATAAAAGAGGGATTGTTTCCCAAATATTATACACGCATACATACATATATATATATATATATATATATATATATATATATATACACACATGTTTTTACTCGTATTTCTTGTTGCACAGAATTTGAAAAAAAAAACATATTAAAAATTTATGAAAATTCTCATTTTTACTAATTTTTCATTAAGGCATTTCTTCCACACATTCCAAATGTCATGTAACATTCTTGGAGAATTTTTGCTAATGATCCAATTTTGACAGCTGGAATTCAGGGAATTCCATTCACAAAAAAAATTTTCTGTTTTACATTAGAATAATAATAAAATGTTCAGAGAGCAAAACAAACCAGAAGGCAATCATTCATTAATGAAGATAAGTGATACGAAAGAGTAATTAAACAATTATTGTTCTAGTCTATTCTTTATCACTGGGATTTACATTTACACACACATATAGATTTATCAATGTACTTGTATAAATAGCTTTGTATCACTCACAAGATCTCTTTTTTAATCTTGTAAATTAGTGATTTAATATATAGATATTACTTTCTATAGTGTATCATCTCTTTGTGTGTGCATATATATATATATATATATATATATATATATATATATATATATATATATAGCAAAGAGAAAAGTGTTGAAAAAAACATGTTGGTTCCAACTTGTGAATATGAATGACAGCATGCTGGAATTTCTTCCTAACCACTTCTCGGTCCCATCTATCATATTTTTATTTACCGTATATACTCATATATCATGCGACTTTTGAAGACCTAATTTTGAAGGTAATTTTAAGGGGGTTGCATCATACACAATATATAAAATTAGCATATGTGTCAGCAGTACATAGGCAAATTTTATACAACCCCTTTTAAATTAGATCTTTAAAATTTGCATCATATGTGACTATATACAGTATTCTTGTCTTTTTGTCAGAAGACTACAATCATTTGACTGTATCCCTTTTTCATGTGAACACCATTCTTACTTTGCGAATATTTTGGCTTGTTACTGTTGATTTGTCTAGTTTTGATTTCCATATATAAAGTTTGCTTAGTATTATCTTGCCCTGTTCTTTTTTTTTCCCTTTTCTTATTGTTTATTGGAAATTTTATAATTCCGTTTGTTGAAAATTTTTGCCAATTTCACCAACCATGGATCCAAACATGCATCCCCATTTAACTGATATAATCTGTTGGATTAATAAATAAAACATCCATTACTCTTGTTAGAAATTGCTTTGTGTATGCTTGGATGGAAAACTGAGCAGATATGAATGTTTTAAGAGTTGGAGAAAGATTCACATTTATAATGCACTATTCAACTTCGCTTTATAAGTGACACACACTGTGGTGGAGTCAGTATCAGCATATCATATCTAATAATGGTTTCTCCTGCCAAGACCATTTTTTCTTTAATAAGATTTCTCAAATATTGAGGCTGATAAACGAAAATAAATAAATGTACTGTTTAATATATAAACGGAGCATCTGCACAAATATGGGTATCCACTGAAAATAATGTTTACGGAATTATAAAACAAGAAGAAAAATAAAAGATTATATGAACACTAAAATGGCATTATACATAATAATGCAGCAAATGCATTGGTTGTCCGCTGTAATGAGACTGAGCAGTTTTGACATAAAAAATGCTACTGTGATCAAAGGAGAAAACAATTCACAATGAAAATGTCTAGAGAGTGTCTTGATCACAAGGTCATCTACAGTAAATTTGTGCTCAGGCTCTTACACATTTCATTATTCCTGGCAAAACTTTTGTTATCAATGTGGTGCATCTGCTAACAAAAGTGATGAAAACAAAAAGAATCTAAATGATATCGGCTAGATTTAAAAAAGAAAAAAAAAAGAAAATTTTAAATTTCAACCATCCTTCATTCCTGCACATGTCTAGTTGCACCAATATAACAAATTTAGTTTGAAGTTCTAAAGGATTAATCATATCAAAACTTTTTTCCACTTTGTCATACATTTTTCCCCCATATATATATATATATATATATATATATATATATATATATAAGGTTAATGGTCACAGTTGAATCAGACCAGGGAATAGTAGTATTAAAAAATGCTCAATACACATGAGAAAAAAATAAGTAAAAATTAAAAAAAACATGTAGAGCTTTTAAGTTTAAAAATCAGGAGGTCAATTAAAATACATGACCACTGTTTCAAACTGATGGCTTCGTCGGGTGTCAATTTCAGTTGCCATATTAGTAAAATACGCACACACTTAAATTTAAAAAAAATTCAACGTTAAGCGTTGCAACTGCATATTCCACAAGTTTGTGTCCATTATCAATAACACATTTAAAAAAAACATATTTCAATTAGCATTATGTTTTTTTCATTTTGAATGCTACCTGAATTTTACCAAAAGCAAAATAATTTCCATGCCTGAAGATGACAATGTACAGTCAAAAGTACTTAACGTATTGAAGGAAGACCTAATACAGTTTATAATTTTAAAAACCAAGGATAATAACATTCATTGAGTGATTGGTAGGTTAATGCATCTTTTAAATTTTTGTTAGCAAAGGAATTTTGCCATTTTATATCATTAACTTTACTAATTTACTTTTTGTATGAATGATTCATTGTAATATATATATATATATATATATATATATATATATATGTGTGTGTGTGTTTAATCTAAGGTAAGCATACTTGTAAGTATTTATTATAAATATAATTTACAGTTTATTTCTTTAAATCTTTTGTTTTTTTCTTTTACAATTACAGTTTGTAAAAGAAATTGTCTCTTTTGATCCTAATGAAAAGTTTGTAAAAGAAATTGTCTCTTTTGATCCTAATGAAAAGTTTGTATCAGGATTTTCAAAATCTTTTCTTCTTTTGTATATTTTCACTTATTTAATTCAACATGCTCATTTAAATTCCTTTTTTTATTCTCTCATTCATAAGTACATAATTGTCATGGAAATGACTGGTTTATGTTCCTTCTCTATAATTTGGAAATTGAAAAAAGCTGTATTTTCACATGTTTATTTTCTGGGATGTCACTTCTTCAGGAAAGGAAAAAATATTACAAAAAAGATTTTGATTGCTTCATTTAGAATTTTCATCTGAAAACTCAAGTGACAAATGAGCTTTGAAAATTATAGATATTATTCTCAAATATATAATTATATATTTGATCTGTTGTATTTTATCTGCATATAGAAGAAGCAATGAGGATCTGCACATACACACACCCACAATCAATTCACCCCAAGCAAGGTAATAATGCCACTAAGATGCAAGGGTCTACTGGAAATGAAAGAGAATGAAAACCCAATCCCAAACAAGAGATCACCTTCTACTCCTGTTCAAACCTACCTATAATATATATATATATATATATATATATATATATATAAAGTGAGTGAGTGAGAGAAAGTCTGTGTATTTGTGCAACACATTTTGAGATTGCTAGAAGAATCCACTATACATAAATGAGCAAATTAGTGATATACTCACCTATCTCTATTTCATCCAATCTTCTCATGATATAGTAGATATAGAAATTTTTGTTAAACTTGATGAACAAATTTCTGTTTCAATTTCTGGGATGGGAAGTTAGCATTATTTACATGTGGACTGTTCTCACCTTTTTTTGCTGTTATCACATTTTTAGCTGTTGGATTTCATCAGTCAATGTCAAGCTGGCTAACCTACAAACAATTTTGAACTGAACCCTTTATTCCATCTATGAGGGTAAACAATTTTCATTCCACTTGCCCATGTCCAGGGATACTTCATCTTGTTCTTATTTTAATACAGCTCAGTTAGTGGTTACTCTGAGTTCAAGTACATACTGCCCAGAGTATAAAAATAAAAACTAGATGAGATATCCACAGACATAGCCAGTTGACCAACAAGAATTGAACTCCATTAAATAAAGGGTATTGTTTGAAGTTCTCTGCATGTTACTCAGATCAACATTCACCTGATGAAGATACAGCAACTGAAACCTTGCGATAAAAACAGCAAAGTTGCAGACAATAGTTTGCAAAAAACTCCA